ATGGAGCTGTGACTGTAGCACCTTCAAGCTTACCCATGCTACTATGCACGGGTACAAGAAACGCGCGTCTGTGTCACTAAAACAAACAGCTTCAGACGTGATGTCTGGAACATTAACCAAAAAGGTATTGTCTCCGGTATGAACTTCGGAATTACGTTCGGAATTTGGCATCGGATCGTATTTTTAATTAAGGCAGAAAGGATTTACCTATCTTCCAGTTACACAAGCATTACATATGAGTAAAATAAAGAGATAGAATGGAGACACACTCACTTTTAACAACCAACAGCCATGTATGCAGCTTAGTGCAGACATAGATATGGATGAGAGAGGGGGACAGCGTCCTGAAGGTAAGCGAACGGGAAGCCCCATTTCAGTTCAGCAGAAAACACGAAGTGTAAAAAGATTTGAATGAGACTAGACTTGGCTCGCCACTTTGTAGCGGTCACACTACGGCTTTGGATAAGTGTGATAACGCCATAAAACTATGAAACATCAACCTGATGGATCTTTGAAGTTTAATCAGAAGATTATAGTTACTTTTACTTGTTCAGGGACCATAAACACACGTCGTATTAATTCAGGCAGATTCAGATATATAGTTAAAAGGAATTTTATTTTCTAAACTAATGATTATACATGACAAGATGAGATGTGATGGATATGCGGTGATGGAATGTGATGTGTAGGTGGTGTGATGTAAGCTAGATGTTGATTAGAACCTTTGTATCTGAAAGAAATTGTGAAATCTGGGTGTAAAATAAATTGTTGTATGCTATAAACTAGAGAGTTGATTATTAATAAAACAGCATCAGACACATTCTGTTGTGTCTACAAACCCTGGCGGAGATCCCCAGCAGATCCGGACTGTCAGAAGTCGGGTGGACCTCACGGCACCGGGATTTCGTAGCTTAATTTCCGATACGACCTGTCCAGTCTTGAGATGTCTCCAGGTCACAGCAGTAGCTGTAATGCTTGTTTGCATCCAAAGTGGATGTGGCTCTTTGGGAGTCGTCTGGCTGCGTCAGCTTGCAGCGTGCAAACAGGTTTTTGACTGTATGTCAAAAGAGATGTCTCAAGGATGCTTGTCCCGAATTGGCCGGTTCGGAACTCCGCTAGAAGCTGAATTAGTCGGGAAGTTACTCCTGTTTTAATAAACTCATTATTTATCGTTTCTGGCATATTCTGGCAAATCAGAATGTGCCATGTCTTGAAGTTTTACCAACATCCCTCAGAAAGCCACGCCCTCCTCAGATACAAATATGTTTTTAACACTGTGAATGAGAATGTCTTGAAACACTTATGTGAGGTGAATCTTAACCTTAATTTGTTTCATATGAAGATGTGTATGAGTGTAGATAATGATTAACTTGTTAAATCAAACACAAATTGATCATAAGATCTGCAATGGATCATTGTAAGAGCAATAGTCATTTCAACTTCATTGATTTAAGCACCGATTATTGAAAAAATTTAATTTAAACATCTTGTTTATTCAACCACATGATTAGTTAACTTATAATTTGTAAAGCCTTGAAGGATTAGTGTAGATTCACTTTTTTATTCAAAGTGAGGAATCCAGCAGGGATAAGGCATTTGCTGGAGACCTTGACAGTTTATTTATGTCTGCGTTGAAGAACAACAAGTGAGCAAAGGGTTGATTTGTGTGTCTGGATCCTCCGGCTTGTGCAGCCTTGACTTTGCAGCTCTGGTGTGTATGAAAGGTTATGCTGTGTCAATTCGATGGTGAAAATTGACCCTTTTGATTCATAACACGAGTTAAAAGACACATTGATTGATTAGGCTCTAGTTCATACTTCTCCATGTCCTGGTGATGAAACATTTGAAATGAATGTGCAGATGATTGAGATCCAGGAATGCGTGTAACAGGACTTTCATGCACGAGTTCATTAGAATCACAGGAAATGTATTTCTCATGCAAAGGAAAAAGACAACATGTAACAACATGTGATCATCTAAAGATGCTTTTAAATTGTTCAAGTCTCTACGAAGACCAGACAATCAGCTTTAATGACTTCTTTTATTTTCCTGTAGTCTAAATCCCCTTTAAAAACATTAAATGTAACCAAACAACATCAACATTTTACTTTTGTTCGATAAACCACCTGCCTATTTTGAGATGAACTTTTGTGGAATGCCTTGCTTTTGCAGCATGTTTTCTCGCGTGCCATCCCCGATCAACGGAAATAAGCGAAGCATTGCATCACTTCCACAAAACTGGTTCTGAGAATGTTTTTAGACTCAAACTATGTCAACAAAGAGCAACAGAGCCTAAAAACATCATAGAGTTTAGTGCATGCCAGTCCCATTCCTGAGCCGTTACTCCTCCACTGAAACAAAAGCAAGAAAGGATGTGTTTTCAACGTTGGGTAATTAGAAGCGTCTGATTGATTGAGTGAAGTGAGAATGGCTATTTGGAGTAAATGTGAAGAATGCATTTAAGGGATCTGCAGCTAAAATAAGAGCTCCCCTGATTCGACCAGACCAGAGTGGCCCAGATTGTTCAAATTCACCTAATGAGCTGCTGTGAATCTCTCCTCAGCTCCACTCAATCAGAGACACTTTAGACTAATGAAGTACTTTTGCATGGATAGACCAATAAAACACAATTCATCCATCAAAGCCTAAAGCTTTTATGCTGTCCTTTGAGCCTCTTGAGGCCCCGATTCCTTGTGGCGCCAAACTTCTCTGCCTGAGCCAAGCTCAGTAACATCATACATCATGTCCTGCTGAGGTACTCCTTGCTACCAGTGTTTCCATCATTCCTGAAGTAATGCAAAATCTGGGCAAAAGTCGTAAATGTCCCAATCTGTTCAGTCTATCTGGGTAAATAAGAGGATCTCTTTGTGGGTTGAGTCCCCGTCGAGAGTTTCAAAGAGATTTATTAAAGCCTTGACCTGCTGGTCCTGAAATCATGGCAACAAAGGCATCTGTCTGAGAAGCAGACTGTTTCAGTGGAGGCTTTCCAACATGGAGAGGTGGAGGAAAATATGTAAAGAAGAGCAAAAAGGACATCTAAAAATTAGTAAAATACAATCAATGAGAGAGAGAGAGAGAGAGAGAGAGAGAGAGAGAGAGAGAGAGAGAGAGAGAGAGAGAGAGAGAGAGAGAGAGAGAGAGAGAGAGAGAGAGAGAGAGAGAGATTGCATGATGGTGCAGTTGGTTGCACTGTTGCCTTACAGAAAGAAGGTTGCAGGTTCAACACTTGGCTGCAGCTTTTTGGAGTTTGCTTCAGCAACCCAAAGGATACAGGTTTGGGTAATAAATGACTCAACTTTGTTTCTAGTCTGTGGACATGGTTGTCAGTTTTGTTTGTGGTGGACTGAAACTTGATCAGAATGTGACCTGCTTCTTGCCCGAGATAGGCACCAGCCTCTAACCACCAAAGTAGATGAAGATAAAGAAAAACTGGTCATTTTGCAACTCTGTGCATCCCAAACTATCTGAAACAATGTTATTTTCCATAACTGAATGTTTTGTTACAAACCCAATAAAAATTAATCTCTTTTTTTGTTTTCATATTTTGTTCTTATGTTCCCATTCAGAGGAAGGTACAGACAAGAATTCTACAATTTTGCATGCAGGTGTTAATGAACTATTTATTTCTTTATTTAATTTAATCTTTATTTTAAGGTTTTGCACCCTTGAGTTACAGTTCTAAATCAGTTGCCTGCGACTGGGATTGTCAATAAAAATTACTCGCATTCAAATAAAATCATCCCCAAATTTAAAAAGAAAATTCTTACCAAACGAGAGGTACGCCATCTGGTGTTCACAAGCAAGTACTGACTCATTTTAAAGGTGGAAGTAAACAGTGAAGCCGGAAGTCATAAGATTTTCATTATAATTTCGAACGAGTGCAAAAACATTAAAACTGGGAAAAAAGGTTGGTTTTAAATTTTGAACGTAGCTGATTATTTCAAGTGAAGTGTGAGATTAAAAAAATACATTAGTCCACCTTGGACCCTGCATCCCACAAAGAGGACAGCATATTTCCACATTTGTTCATTTTTATATGACAGAATATTTGTTAAAAATATGTGTTTAGGGATTCAACTAATTATAAATAAAAACATACATAAAAACAATAGTATTACCGCCAAATTTTTGGTTAATTTTGCATAACTTTGACTATTTTGCTTACAGCGATTTTACAGTTTATTGTTATTCTTTAAAGTTTTCTTGATCAAATAGTTAGTCAGGATTTAGAGGAAAAATCCCCTCATTTTCAGTTGATTTAAAAAATGTCAGTCCATTTAATCACAACTTTATTTTCATACAAATAATGACGCAAATGTGTGTTTTGTGTGACTTGCTGATTCAGTACCATCTATTTATGCTGATATTTACCAATTCTGCCTTTTTCGGAATCCAGTATTACCTTTTTCTTCAAATTTTTTCCCTCTTTTTGAGTTTTACTTAAAAAACTAATTTCCCATTTATTATGATTTATTTCAAACAATTGTAATATGTTAATTAATAATCAGTTTTGTTCTTGTGAAGGGCCTTGTAATTTTTTTATCTTGAGAGGCTCTTTGAAAAGCATAAGTAATTTTTCTATTAAGCCAATTTTGAATTCTGATTTACATTTAAAACTATGTTAAATATTTATTTTATCGCATTTGCAGAAGACGAGGGTAAAAAGATAAAATAATGAAAAGAGAGAATTCTGACTTTTTTCTCAGAATTCTGACTTTTTCCCTCAAAATTCTGACTTTAATGACAGAATTCTGACTTATTTTTCTCAGAATTTTTACTTATTTTTCAGAATTCTAAGATTTAAGTCAGAATTCAGAGGAAAACGTCATGATTTGTTTTATCTTTTCAGTGGCCCTAATCCTCTTCCGTGAGTTTTAAACATTTTAGTAGTTTATTTTACTGTTTTTATTATTTTTACTTCACTGTTTTTTATTTTTCCCAGGCCTAAATATTCAACTTTATTTTTGCTTACATCTTTTATTTTGAAGTGGTGAAGCAGAAGCTACGTCACATGTTGTGTTTCACTCGCAGAAAGTCTTCCTGGCTGCGTGTAGCAGCCGCTCAGCAGCAGTGACAGCATGACATACAATGCGAAGATAGGTCCGTCCATTCTGAGCAGCGACCTGTCCTGCTTGGGCAGCGAGTGCGTCAGAATGATGGAAAGTGGCGCAGATTATTTGCACCTGGACGTCATGGACGGGTCCGTTTCTCAGCAGCTATTACCGAACCAGCTAGCAGCTAGAAAACAAGTAGGCTACTAGTTAGCCAAGTTAGCCTGAATTAACTTAGACTGTGGAAACATAACATGTCATTTAAGTTTAATTTTTTAAAGCATTTAAAACTTATGCGTGGTCAAGTTTTTGCATATCTTTTTTATTTCATGTTTATTTCCTCTACCCGGTAGTAGAGACATGATTTTACAAGGTGAGAGAATTACTCAACGTGTTTCTACCTTTAAAGGCACTTTGTCCCCAACCTCACATTTGGTCATCCGATGGTGGAGTGTCTGAGGAAGTCAGTTGGCCAAGATCCTTTTTTTGGTAAGAATCAACCGTCACATGCACACCGCTGGATCCTCCCTGATGTGCTGTGAGGTGATTTTATGTTTTTGTGTTGCAGACATGCACATGATGGTGTCCCGGCCGGAGCAGTGGGTGAAGCCCATGGCTGCAGCTGGAGCCAACCAGTACACCTTTCACATAGAGAGCACCACCAACCCTGGAAACCTCATTAAGGAGATCAGAGAGAGCGGTATGAAGGTCAGACCAAAAAATAAAAAATAGACATGAATGAAATCCAATCTGGGTAAAATCTCACTAAAGTGAAGTGAAGTAAGATGGTTTTATTGTATTTCAGGTGGGTTTGGCAATTAAACCCGGCACTACAGTAGAAGAGCTGGCCCCGTGGGCTAATCAAATCGACATGGCTCTGGTTATGACTGTTGAACCTGGTTTTGGAGGACAAAAGTTTATGGAAGATATGATGCCCAAGGTAAGGACACACCATAGGTGAAGAACCAAACATAAAAACAGATCTCCAGGGTTGGGAATATAGTCCTCCACAGATTTAGCTTTCTGAGAAATTAGTAAACCATAAGAATTGGCTATAACTGAAGGATTAACAATTTAGTTGATAAGTTGGAAACAGAAAAGGTGAGGTCTGAGAATTTGAGGTGTAAAATGTACCTGAGTAATTCAGTCATTAGCTGCTTTTTTCAGTCAGGACAAATGATTTCATTTATCTTTCTTTCTTGTCCAGGTGAGCTGGCTGAGGAGTCAGTTCCCCTCTTTAGACATAGAAGTAGATGGAGGCGTCGGCCCTGACACAGTTCACAAGTGTGCAGAGGTGAAGGCCGGTTACTACTTTAAAATCACTGTGTTGAATTTTTCTTTAACATCACGTGTGAACATGTTTCCTCTAGGCCGGAGCTAACATGATCGTGTCGGGCAGCGCTGTGATCGGCAGCGACGACCCTCGCTCGGTCATCGCGCTCCTCCGCACTGTGGTGGCCGAGGCAATCCAGAAGCGCTCGCTGGACCGCTGACGTGCCTCGTTTGTGAATCCGCCCCTCCACAGTGTTGTTCCACATGCCCTCTTTCCACACACACAGCAACACATCACAGCAGCCGGAGAAATGACTCAGAACGGACATTTCTGGGGTAGAAGTTGCTCACAGTTGGATTGAGGGTCATCTTTTATCAGCTGAAAGGGAAAAAAGTACCAAATCAGATGTGATTGAAGCTGTGTTCTGCCTGTTTAAACTTGATCCTCTCCTGCCACCGTTTCCTTTTTATTAACTCGAACCGAGTCTCTTTGGCACAGGGACGATTACAGGACTAGAGCAAAGTTTATGCTGATTAACCCCCTAAACATTCCAGAGCATTGTCTTAAGTAAAAACCCAATAAAGTCACCCAAGATGGTTTTCTTTTATTTTATTTTTGAAACTTTGAAAGTAAAAGTCACATCATCTTCTGCTGATTTGAAACCATAAACTGATTTCTGTACCACATATCACTACTAGGACGTGTTAGATTTGGTTTTGCAGATTAAACCGGAACAACTTAAGTTTCTTCTCTCAACTGTTGATATACACTAAAATAATTATATATACATTCCTCAATATGCTGCTTGTTTTACCACAGATGGATGCAGAAGGATCAGTTCTGACATGAAGAATTACGTTTTCCATTAAGATTTAAACTAAGTTGCATAAATGAAAAGGGACATATTCAGATGGATAATGATGCAATCCTCTTCTAAAAGAACCTTTAAACAGCTGAAATAAAAAATGAATGTTTATAATGACTGAAGTCCGTCATAGGACATTTTTAATTACTGAAGAAACTCTTGATGGTGGAAAAAACCTGAAACAAGTTAAACATCTGTTTGGGTTTGGTATAATGAAAAATCACACAACTTCATCTGTTTACAGCGTTTACTTTTAGCTTGTACAGCAAGTATAGCTACAGTAATCCAAAAGGAATCTTATTTTTTTCATGTTTAATGATCACATTTTTTTAACTAATACAATACATTTAGACAGTAAAATACAAAAAAAAACTTCTGAGGAAAAACTTTGAACTAAATTTTTACTTGATATATATCAAGATTAAAATGTTGAAATATGAAATTGATAAAATTGGCGTTAAAGAAAAGTACACCCTTACCACCACTTCATTAACCTTTAAACTGCTGTTTCAATGCTCGTACACTAGGTGGCGACTTTGGACAAAACCCAATAGACTGCTAAACTGAGTGAGAAATCAGAATGTAAAGGGTATATTATTAATATGTGAATATGAACACATTATAACACTGACTCTACAGTAAGAACACAGTTCTGTTATTAATTATGCATTTGGTCTCCATGGTGAGCTGCATCAGTAAGTATTTTGACTTAAAAACATGCTAAAAGTGAAAGCGTGTGTTCAAGCAGAATTATTTAACTTCGTTGACCTCTCATCTCAGAAACTTTTTCTAATATGACTATTTCAATCAATGCATAAATAAAACTGCAATAAAGAATGTGGATTTAAAGGATTGACTTGTGTGTAGAAGCTTTTGACTGTAGACAGTAAAAAGATAAAAAAAAGAACCCCCATCCTGTCAATGAAAATCACCTGCAACATACTTCAAACTGCAAACAGTTCCCCCTCAATAATTCAGCACGTGTCTTGGAGGCAATTCGCAGGCCTGTTGAAATATTGATGCTTAAAATCTGTATTTTCATTTCAAAGTCACACTTAATGGCAGCTAATGTTACCGTCTTTGCTCGCCGGAGCGTGCATACCGGTTCAGATCGAGTCAGCAGTTTGCCTCTGATGCGAGCATCTTGTAAGTGATTTGGGAACCCCTCCTCAGAGATTTGTGCTCTAATAAATCATGACAAGTGTTTTGTGTACCGATGACACAGCTGCCTCGTGAAGAGAGGAAGACGATTCATGAGGGGAGCTGTCAGCACCTACACGTGCTCCACGCCGCTTGAGCCATGTTTTGGGCGGATTATCTGCTAAATGACAGTTGTTTCTCTCTCCAGATTGTCTTTGGTTGTTTACATTCCATTTGCTGATTAATTTTCAGTTCCTTGAATGCAGAAGTGAGCAGCAGTGATGAGACGGCGTGCAAACAAGCTAATCAGCTTAACTTACATATAAAATGTCACGTCATGAGAGGCTTTCGCTCTGGTGTCATGGCAACAGCATCCTCAGATATCATTTATATTTAATAGCTACAAACGAAGGAGAGTGGTGAAGAAATCGATCGGTGATGGTCAGTCGTGGCTCACGACACGCTAATGGGAAATACTAAAGAAAATTTTGACTAACCGTGTACTGAAAGCTGTCGAAGGCTTTAAAGCCAACAGTGAATCAGACCGCCATCGTGTAGGCCTTTTCATCTTTTTAAGGCTCTCAGTGAGGGAATGCCTCAGTTCTTAGCAGAGGTGTGTGCAGACCGTTTATCCGAGCACCAGAGGGGTTTTTAAAGCACTTGGTGAAGGTGGCCAGATAAACCAAACCGCCTGTCCTATGGCGCTGCACGGTTCACTTGCAATGACAGGGAGCTGCTTTACGCCTTGTTTGAGCTGCAATGAAACCCATATCTGGAAATTTTACCCTGGGGACATCAGGCTACGGATACAAGTATCTCAGAAGTACAAGGAAAGATGGCCTTAGACGAAACGTGTAAATGTTTAAGCACACCTGGTCAGAACTGGTACTTTGAACAGTTGAGCACACACATAACTTATAGCTCGAGGTCTAAAATGTCAAATTTCTTCTACATTTTAGCAAAACGAAGCTTTTTGGAACTCAAAATTTGACAGGTCTTATTTTCTTAGCTAGCATTAGCCGTAGATCAGACTAGCGTGACTCTGCGTTTAGTGTTATGTGGACCTACGTTAAGTCATGCTAATGTAAGGTGGTGTGTCTTAGCTTATGGTGTGTAAAACCAGCTTTTCTCTTAACACTGCTATACTAATTTACGTAGGAAAGCAGGTTGGAGATGGCACAGACTTCCTGGTTTGCCACATTAGATACCCCAAGCTCCCATTATTCAACAACCAACAAGACAGGCTAACTAGGCAAAAACCTTGGGCCCAGAGGTGGCCAGGGCCCCCAGGAAGTAGCTGTTTATCAAATAAATACGATGTCAAGCTGTGTATCTGTGTAACTTTGTATGTCGGATATGTTTACTGTGTGCATTTTTAAAAGTACATTATTTTGTAGTTACCATTTGTTGTTATGGAAGGGTGGTGAGTCTTGGCAAATGTTCAAATGTAAACATTATACACTGTCCCCAAAATATGTTATTGATATAAAGTTTGGGCGGACAGTTGGTCTATGTTGTTGGTCCTTTGAGTGCGTGAGGTGGGGGGTCCTGAGTCCATTTAGCCTTGGACCCCCATGTGACTTGAAACGGCCCTGACAACAAGGTAAGTGCAGATTAGAATTTTAGGACAACTTTAAGAAAATGGCAACCTAATATTTGACAGATGCAGCATCATCTTTTTGCCTTGAGGTAAGAGGGCAAGAGTGGCAGATGAGTTAAGTGTCTATGCCGTAATCGGAGAGCTGCAGATTCGAGCCCCACTCAGTCGCTGTGTCTCAATTCAGGGTTGCATCCTTTGAAGGACCCAGCCTACTCGGCCGACGTGGGCTGGGTCCTCTGTTGGCCGAGTAGACCGGATGTTAACGGCTGTGAATTTGGACAGGCCTAGCCTTCATGAATTCCCGCCATTCCCTCGATGAACGTTCCGTCGCCTAGCAACCGTGGAACCGCTGAGCAGAAGGGAGAAGGAACTTGAAACGATGGAGCTCGAAGTTTTATTTAGCTTGTTAGTCATTTCCTTGACTGTTGGAGAGCTAATTCAGAGAAAATTAAGTGTCTTAATTGGACCAAAACCGATTTATCACCTTTAAAGACTTTAAGACCCAGCGGATACCCTGTAATATTGAACAATTCTCATTTGTAAACAAAAATAAAATTCAAGAGTTTAATGCAGAACTGATTTTATTTAGATATTTCTTTTATATGTACATGTTTAACCTTTCTTAACCATTTTTTCTAGCAAAGTAAAAAGCTGTCAAAGTTCTCCCTTCTCTCCTGTGCCCTCTGCTGCTCTGCCTCCCTCTGCAGCCTCAAGTCCTCCCTGATCAGCTCCAGAAGCTGGTCATCGCTGTCACCTTCCCCTGGATGCCCATTTTCTCCAGAATAGTCTTAACAAACATGTAAGAAAAAAAACAGGAAGAGAAAAGAGGACAACGGGTAATTCCTTTCGTGTTTTCGCAGAAAAAACTAAACTCAAAATGACAGTTTATAAACATGAGATGTTATTGTACCTCCATGCCACAGCCGCCGAATACTTTGCTCCAGTGATCATGTGGTCCATCTCCGCCCTAAGCTTAATAAATTCCCTGGTTTTCTCTTTTGTTCCTAAAATACAAACTTCTATTACAATCAGGGGGAAACGTAGCGGGAGAAGTACGACACCGAGCGGCCGAACATACAAGCCGAGACCGCAATACAAGCACTTTTACTGTAACATTTCTAACTAAAATAACATTCATGTATCACAAAAAGTCCTTAACCTAACAGTTTTCAAGTTTATACTGACATTTATATGCGCAATCCTCTCCAACAGCTCCCGCTTCACTGTCCGCCATTGTTTTTAAAAGTTCTACCGTCTGGCCCGCAAGGCATCTTGGGAAATGTAAACCATTGAAGGATATACCGGACCCATCCTGCTTGCAGGCGAAAAGAAGGCCGGATTCGCCAACCGCATTTGAAGGAGTCTTCGAATTGGGACAGGCCTGGTCGCGGCGCTGTGACGTAACCGGCCGACGAAGGATGCAGACCCTGAATTGAGACACAGCCAGTCTGTCATTTGGGCTTGACAAGTGGACAGTCTCACCTCTGTTCCTGAGCCCAGTGGCGTTAAAGAAAAGTACAGCTGTGGCTGCACTGTAGCTTATCACCACCAAGGTGTGAATGTGTGTGTGCATCTGTGAATGACTGATTGTGTTGTAAAGTGGCTTGGGGGGGTTTCTAGGACTCTACAAGGTGCTGTTTCAAATACAGGCCATTTACATCACTGTCTGTTTATTTAGGGATAAATAATAAAAACCTCCTGCAGGACCCAACCTTTAGATGCACCAGAATGCTACATTTAGCTGACAGTTATGTCAATAAAGAACCATATAAGTCCATGTCAATCACCAGGCAATGCTAAAACTCATTATGGTAGAAATGTTAAGACAACCACTGAGAAAATTTCATGATTAGAGCAACACTCATAGTTCTTGGCTGGCCTCAAATTAGCTTTCAGCTCGCGAGCCCAAGAACAAAAGCTACTTCTCCAAACTGAGGCCATTCATGATGCTTCTCACTATATACAGCATCGTTATTTATCATTTCTAAAGAAAACACTTAAAAGGCTGAAAAATCCTTTAGAGCAGGTTGAAACCAAAGCATTTCTCAGCCTTTTTTTCTGATTTATGTTGGACATTTTCTTGGGACAAAAGAAAGAAAAGAAACTTAAAAAAAATTAACTTCAAATCCTTTTTCGGACTAAAAATAAAACCTTCAGGAGCGTTAAATAAACTCTGCTGATTTTTAATTAATGATTCATCTGAACAAGCCAAAGTAATCCAATTAAAATTAAATTCTCCGTAAAAAACAAAGCATTTAAGTCAATTCAACCAACTTGTTTTATGACCTGAGAGTAAAAATAAACAGTAAACAGACCTAAGGGTCATGAACGCTAGAATAACCATCACACGTGTATGGCTGCATTCCTATAGAATCACTAGGCTGCATCTAAATCTGTAGATTTTTCTTTGTAAAGCAACATGAACTTCATGAGTTATTAAACCAGGAGGCAATAAAGTGAAAACAGAAGAGGAAATGAGTAAATATATTACTTTGCTGGTGTTTTATTTGTTCTCATAACACGGTGAAACGTGATTACTTGTGTGTACACAAATGTGCGTCTATGGAGCCATTTAAAAACAACTAAAACTGGATCCATTTGCCCCACAGGGTTACGGCTCTTCTTTATCAAGCTTTTAAAACAAACAAATCAAAAATATATTTCATTCACTTAAATAATCAACAAACATTTTGACATTTGCACGTCACACGCAGTTGAATCCAACCTGCTTCTGAGGCTGGTTTGTTTTTCCACTTCCTCTCTGTCTCCTGTCACTTACTTCGGTGAATCTGTTCCCTGTTGCATTCTCCCCACCTCTTTTTTTCCTGTTCTTTCTGGAATTGTTATATTTTTTTAAACTTTTCCGCAGATGTCCTCATCTCCAGCACTAAGTGGCACATGAGATAACTCGCTTTGCATGTTCCTGTTCATTTCTAATTACTGTTCCCACAAGAAAACCAGCCTCACATCTCTGCTGAAGCTCGGTCTTCACTTTACTCATGCACAGGCCTCATCTAACCATATGCATTATCCTATTAACAATTAATAATAACATGCTTTAGATGATATTACAAAATATCTCTTTGCTTTGCCCTTAAGCAAGTCAGGCTCTTGCAGAGTGTATAATAAGCAGCAGAGCAGCTGATTCACCGAGGTGAGAGAAGGAGGGAACCTATTCATCCTCGTTGCCTCTCAGCTCTGTTTATGATGCTGATATGAGAAATGCTGAAAGGCAAGCTGTGCTGCTGATATTATAAGCTGAATGTGTCATTTCTCCAGGAGAGTTTATGTGCACAACTCTTAAAATAGCTACAGCAATCTCTGGCTGGTTTAGGATGGATTAAGGCAAATAAAAAAAAAGAGCTCAATGTCTTTAGATGCATATCAAGGACAGGATTCAAGATTAAATATGCTACAAATATGACTTTTTTGTTTGAAAATACATAAAAATGTTAATTTTCACAAAGGTTGAAAGGAAATTGAGACCAATTATATCGTATCTTAGGGTTAATATCAACTATACCAATTTGTCAACAAAAAAATACATAATCGGAGGCTTTTCTTGTTTGACATAAATCCAGCTAAAAGATTAGCTTAGAAATGAGACAAGATGTTACAAAAGTCACAAAGAATCATGTTTTCTCACCTGCTTTCCCTTTTAAGAGCTCTGCTTTGAACTCTGATGACAGAAACTGGGAACTCATTCTGTTCGTGTGGTTTGTGATGCAACAACCATTCAGGCACTTCATGCCCTAAATATGAAACAAAATGATAAAAATGTTACTTAACTGAATGATATTTTGTCTAATGTGAATAAAACTATTATAATAACCAGTTTTCTTTTGATATTTTAACATTTTAAAGTTACGACACAAATAAAATTGTCCCTTTCCGGCGTGTAGATGCTCCACTAGAGGGCAGTAGATATGTATGGGACAGGCTGCTGATGAAAATCCTAATCCTAATACTGCATCTGGAGGCTTTAAGGCAAGATCGAGTTTAATTAGCGAACGGTAAAGGTTAAAGAATGTGAGATGCCACTATGTAGGTGTGCACATATTTGATATGTTTGAGATGAAAGTGTGAAAACCAATAAATCAATCAAAAATGCAGGAATGTCAGATACAGCCGTGACCGCTGCCATCTGTAAAAGAAACAGATGTTTTCTGTTCCTGAACCTAATCTACATAAACCTTTTGGGAACATCACATCAATCAGTTTTATATTATCCTCGATTATTACCAATTAAAATGATCCCATTGAGGTTGTAGCTGAGAACTGTTAATCAATTTAGTTCAGATGTGCAACAACAAAGAAACAAGATAAATAGAAAGGAATGACATATTCAGGGTACTGGAATGGGCATGGGGAATATTGTGTTCCTCAGCTGTCTCCAGCGTGGAGTCATATTAAAGCGAATAAAACAATAAACACCCAGATCAGTTAATTAGCCGGGGTGATTTTTAATACCCAGGCCTCTTCGGGGCCCCGGAGGATCCAGACACTAAATGCTGAGCTCCCGGTGGAATGCTGCAGAAACCTTTGCATCAGTTTACTCCATCTTAACCGGTTCCAGTGAAAACACACACACACACACACACACACACACACACACACACACACACACACACACACACACACACACACACACACACACACACACACACACACACACACAGTTTGTGTTTTTATCAATTATAAATGGGATGAGCATATTTCCCTGTGCGTTTGTAAATTTGTAGATGCTTTTAATCCATAATAAATGATGTGTGACTATCAGCCTTTTTGTTGTTGCCACATCAGTTTTGTGCCACTCGTGCTGATTTGTGATTCGCCTGCTGCGTCCAAGAATTTCATTAGCAAGCTCCTGACACTTTTGTCCCCAAAAGCCTCAACAAACAAAGCCTTCTAATACAACTATTGATTGTCTTTTCCAACTATTTTTTCAAAGCGAAAACACAACCAGAGACATTTCTGTCTGCTGCTGATGCATCAACAGATAATTGCAGAGATGGTTTTTTTTACAGTACAGGTGGTGCATCTGCTCTCCTCCTTTAAAGCTGCTCGTCTTCTTTAATCATCCAGAGAGAACCCCGCGCATCACTCGAAAACACAAGTGTTATTTATTAACAACGCTTCTCCGTGTTCTGACTCACCCTTACATCACTGAGTGAGTCATTCCACACAAAGTGGTGTGGTATCACGCTGTGGCGGGTGCAACAAGCTGCGCGCGGGCCTCAGCTACGAGCCACGCTCTGCTTTCTGTTAATTTAGTAGCTCTGCCTCGTGCATGTCTCATCTCTGAGAACAAAGCACACCCATCTGTCCTGCCTTCTCACACCTCGTAAGAAGTGCACACAAGCAAATATTCCCCACAGAAAGTCATACTTGAGCAGCGCCGCTGTAAATAAGGAGTTCATTTGGCCAATTGCAGCCGTGCAGCTCCGGATTGCAGACTGTGTACACAATCGTGCCCTCTGGTGACGGTGTCTTCAGTGTGAACCGTTGATTTGTGATCTCTGCTTGATTTCATGTAAAACAGCTTTCCTCCCAGGGGGTCTTGCTTGAGAAAAAAGGGAGTACAAATCAGGGAGAAGATGGGATGGGGAGATCCTCAAAGAGGGAAAGATTTGGGAATTTTTCCATTTTGTGAAGATCCATCCATCCACTCTCTTCTGCTTATCTGGGATCGCAGGCCCAGACTTACCTCTCCCCAGGCATTTGAGCCAGCTCCTCTGGGGGAATCCCCTGGCCAGCCGAGAGACTGTCCGTCCAGCGTATCCTGGGTCTTTCTTTAGGTCTCCTACCAGTTGGACATACCCGGAATACCTCGATACCAATGGGTCTTCCTAACCAGATGCCCAAACCACCTAGCCTGGCAAGCCAGACTAAATGGCAACGCTCCATTGACGGTTCTCGGTCGTAAGGCGGGTTCTACCATTGTCTTTCAAATGATCTCCACATGCTACTGGACAATGAACTGACATACTCACTGCAATGGATGTTGGTAAACAAGGCCGTCCGCTGTTTAAGGTGAAAATACATCCCTTTTTCTAAATAAAGGACTGAAATACATCTTTCTGCTCCTGATTCTAATAAAGCCCAAGTCCAAATAGCCCAAAATTGAGGTCAAAGCTGTTTCAAACAAGCGGTCACCATCTTGTTCCACTCTGTTTCATCATCCCACACACCAGACGAATAGAGGGCCCTGATTAGCCCACAAAGCGGATAGAGCACTGAAGAAGAAGAAGAAGAAGAAGAAGAAGAAGAAGAAGAAGAAAGTATCATTTCTATAGCGCCTCTCAAGATAAAAATCACGAGGCGCTTCACAAAAACAAAAAATGTAAAAATATAAAAAAGAATTTAGAATATGTTTAAAAATATATTTAAAATGAGCAAAAATAGGCAATTTGTGATTAAAAATGTAAAGAAAGAGAGAAAGTGAACAGGAAAGAGGGAAATCAGTGGATCCTGAGGAAGGTGGAATAGGTGGGGAGAGCAGAATAAAGAGAGAGTGGTGAAGAAGGTCATACAAAAGCCAGCTTGAACAAGTGAGTCTTCAGCTGCTTTTTGAAGGAGACCACTGAGTCCACTGATCTCAGACTCAGGGGGAGAGAGTTCCAGAGTCTGGGGGCCACAGCAGCAAATGATCTGTCACCTTTGGTCTTTAGCCTGGTGCTGCACAACCAGTAGGCTTTGATCACTGGACCTCAGGGACCTGCTGGGGGTGTAGGGACTAAGAAGATCACCAATGTAAGATGGTGCTTGTCCATGTAAGGCCCTATAGACCAGAACCAGGATCTTGAAATGAACCCTGAAGTTGACTGGCAGCCAGTGAAGCTGGAGGAGAAGCGGGGTGATGTGGGTGTGTTTGGAGGACTTGGTCAGAAGCCGAGCACAGGCATTCTGAACCACCTGTAGACGGTTCAGGGAGGTTCTGCTCAGACACGTGAAAAGAGAGTTACAGTAGTCTAAGCGTGAGGAGATGAAGGTGTGGATAACGGTCTCAAGTTCAGAGCGGCTCAGCTTAGCAATGTTCCTGAGATGGAAGAAGGAAGAAGGAAGAGTGAACAAGAGAACTGACATGAGAATCCAGGGTGAGAGCTGGGTCAAAGGTCACGCCAAGATTCCTGACAGAAGGTTTGGTGTGAGAAGCAAACTGATCAAGAGAGTCTCTGACTTTGGGAACCAGCTTGTCTGGGGCACAGATGAGGATCTCAGTCTTATCTTCATTTAGCTGAAGAAAGCTCCCAGCCATCCAGGTTTTGATAGAGTCTAAGCAAGTGTGTAACAGCTGCAGCTTAGACATCTCATGGGGCTTAAAGGAGATGTACAGTTGGATGTCATCTGCATAAAGATGGTAGGAGATTCCTTTGAAGGAGCTCAGGATGTGCTGAAGAGGAAGCAGATAGAGGAGGAAGAGCAGAGGCCCCAGCACAGAACCTTGTGGGACACCATGGGTAAGAGAGGTGGTAGAGGACCTAAACTTGGAGACGGCCACAGAAAAGGAGCGCTCAGAGAGATAAGAGGAGAACCACTCCAGAGCAGATCCTGATAGGCCTACCCAGTCTCTCAGCCTCTCCAGTAGCAGGTGATGGTCAACAGTGTCAAAGGCTGCAGTCAGGTCCAGCAGGACCAGAACAGAACAGAACAGTCCCCTGCATCACTGTGAGTCAGAAGGTCATTAGAGACCCTAAGAAGAGCTGTTTCAGTAGAATGAGCTCTATGAAAACCTGACTGGAAGCTATCATAGATGTTCTGTTCATCAAGAGCAGCTGTGAGTTGTTTAGCCACAACCTTTACCAAGATCTTGTAGATGAACGGAAGTTTAGAGATGGGTCTGAAGCTGCTATGGAGAGAGGGGTCGTGACTCGGTTTTTTAAGAAGCGGGTGGATTACAGCATTCTTAAAGTAATCAGGAACCTGACCAGAAACCAGAGAAGCATTAATTATGGAGAGCACACTGGGACCGATGGACTGAAAAGCACTTTTAAACAAAGATGAAGGTAAGATGTCGAGGGGGCGTGCAGAGGTCTTCATAGAGTTAACTAGTTTGGTTAACTCAGGCAAAGAAACAGGAGCAAAGCTATCTAGGATGATTGGCCTGGTAGGAGTCGGGAGAGGCAGCGATAAGGCTGAAGGAGAGATGCTAGATCTAACCTTATTGACTTTGTCCACAAAGAAAGACAGAAAGTTTTCACAGTCTGTAACAGAGTGGATGGAGGCTGTAGGAGAGGCAGGAGACACGATGCTGCTGATGATGTTAAACAGCACCTTGGGGTTCCCTTTGCTCTGGGACACCATGTTGGAGAAATAGGCAACCCCCTCGTTTCTGACTGCAGAGTTAAAGGATGTCAGAAGATTCTTTAGGTGCAGCAGATGGACGTGGAGATGGGTTTTCTTCCACAAGCGCTCAATTTTTCTGCACTGGCACTTCAGGCTGCGAAGGCTGTCATTAAACCAGGGAGTAGGGTTCACTGCAGGAACTGATCTGGTTCTGACAGGACAGATGTTGTCCAGAATGGAGAGGCAGTGCTCGTTAAACGGAGTAGTCAAGGAATCTGGGTCGTTATCAGAAGAACAGGGTGGATCAAAAGCAGCAGAAAAATTGCTAGCTGTGCTCTCATTAAGAAAACAAGAACTAACCATACGGCGAGCAGGAGGTGGGAACGCAGAAACTGACAAGGTAAAGAAAATGCAGTGGTGATCTGAAATATAGACGTCCTCAGGACAAACACTGTCAGCACTTAGACTCAGGGTAAAAACAAGGTCTAGAGTGTGCCCTTGGTGTGTGTGGGGCCAGAAACATGCTGGGTAAAGCCGAACGAGTCCATAAGGCTGGAGAAATTCATGGCAAATTCACTGTAATTGGTCCACAAAGCAGATAGTGCTGTGACAGCTTTCTATGTGTCTGAAACCACTATAGAGAGCCTGAATGCTGCTAGGGGCTGCAGAGGTTCCAAGGCTATACAAACCACCTCAACTGTCTCCTCTTTATGTGGAGGAGAAGCAGATCTACTCTGAACCCCTCCGGGATGACTGAGCTTCTCACCTCATCTCTACGGGAGAGCCCAGACAACTAATTTTGGCCATTTGTATGATCTTGTATTTTGGTCATTACACAATCCTGGTCAACATATATAACGGTTAGAACGTAGATCGACTTGTAAATCAATAGCTTCGCCACCCGGCTCAGCTCTCTCTTCACCTTGACAGACCAGCACAACGGCCCCACCACTTAGACGCAGCACCGATCTGCCTATCAATCTTTCTTTCACTCTTTTAGTCAAATCAGATTGTTTAGTTGACCGAAAGCATTTGTAAGTAAACCCACTTGCCCCACAGAACCTAGTAAATAATCCATAAGCCATGATGTTCCTAGTGGTAAACAGTATTTCCTAATGTGTCACTATGATTTATGAAGTCGCGGCAGCATTTGTTCAAAACTCTGCTGAATATTTGTGCATCAATAAGAGTTCAAATGAAGGAGAAATACTACAAGGCATGGATTTGAAGAAGAAATGCGGTTTACTGCTAAGAGGTTATGGAAATGCATGTTAGATGAGTTAGCGCCAGTGACATGATGGTGGATTGCAGAGGCTGTCAAAAGTCCCAGACTCTAAGCATCACTTTTCCTTTGGCTCTCTGGTTTAATCTTTTCCTCTGCAAAACTCCGAAACAGAAAGTAGAGTCGATAAAGTGCTATCTGAGGTCAAAATTTCACACGACCAAAAGCTGCCACCTGCGATGCCTCAGCCTTGATTTTATAGCTAAAGCAGAACTGAACCTCTGCTGTATAAATCATGGCTGTCATGAGACAAGTTCAATGATAACTCTCCGATTATAGTGAATTGTAACAGGAAGGTGCAATCAAGAGTTAAAAAACATCCAATTTGTCGATAAAATAAGATAAAAAAAATACTGAAATCTAGAGCCAGCAAATCCACACAGGCCTCAACATTCGGCTATGACACTGTCAGGGTGTGTGGGGGATCTTGGGAGGCAGTTGCAAATGGTTTTCATCTTATTCTCATATAAATAAATAAATAGAAAACACCGGAGCCAGTGCTGATGGAATCACATCACACCTCCATCACACTCTCCGTTCCCAAGCCATGAAGAGATGTTATGAATTTTGCATGAATTAAAAAAAAGAAGAAGGAAATGTGACTTGCTCGCTGTGGATGAAGCAGCAAATCTCTGGGATCATTTACCCAACATGCGTCTCTGAGAGTATGTAAGGTTCAGCTTAGGTAGCCATTCAGCCAACAAGTCAATTAATGTAGCTTAGATTATTTTTCCACATCCGTTTTTCCATTTGCCTCCAGTGAGTCAATAACACTCCTCTAAACATGCAAAACTCCTGTAAGCAACCATCCCTGGTGGATGAATGAAACCTACTAAAAGGCTTTTTGTTGTTGGTTTTGCTTACTTAAAAAAACAGGTAGGAATAACTCCATTCTTGTGGTTTTCAGTAGTGAGTGGGTGATTTAGGCTGCTACACCAAAAGCGATTCAAAACCAATTGTGAATATTCGTGTTTTAAAAGGGTTACTGGCTGCATGTAAACGCACTACGTCTAATGACCTTAGAAGAGCATTAGCAAACATTTTTGTTTTTCCTCACTAAAGTTCTGTTTCTATGTAAATAAAAATTGCAAAAGTTTTTTTTTTCAAAATGTTTGTTTTTAGTTTGACTACTGATTAAAAAACTAATAAAATGACTTTAAAACAAATCTGGAAATCCACAGGCAGCCCATGCAAGGATTCCTAGACCAGGGAAACATGGTCAAATTTCTCTTTTCCCACTAAAAATGTTGCTGCCACATTTTGCACTAGCTGCAGGCTTGCCAGAGTCGCCAATTCACCCCAAACAGACGGGAATTGCAGTAATCAATTTGTGTTGTCATTAAAGCATGAACTACTATCTCCAAGTGGTGTCTTGTCAGGAATGATTTTATTTTAGCTAAATGACGCAGATGGTGAAAAGAGGTGGACACAATTCCATTCACATATAAAGTCCAAAGTCTGCACTGAAAAGAGTTAAAAGAAAGCTCTTATGCAAAATACAAAGCTAATTAACCTTTAGGATTCAGTTTCAACTCTTGGTGTCATTCTTGAGTCAAGTTAATCAGAAAAATTGGGTTGAGGTGTTTGGAGAGTCTATTAAAGCCTCCTTTGCACCAACTGGAGTGTGTCGACCATGAAGCGATTGAGTATGCATTTGTTTAACCATTTTTGTGGGTTACACAAATCCGCAGACCAAAATGTAATCTAGTAAACGTACATGGTAAATATGTTTTCACACAAATTTCTAAATTTTATTCTTCAAGGCCATTTACTTGCTAGAGTGTCCAATGTGCGATTTAACAGTAGCCGCAGCAAAAAAAAAATTAAATAAATAAAAGACATTTATTTTACTAACTCCATATACAGAAGTCTTTAACAGCCCTATGTCATGTGAAATATACATTTTGGAGATTTTGACTGTGTTAAATTATTATGTCCTCATGAGAAATGCTCCCATGCTTCACTCATGCATTTTCCTGTCTCAGCTGCTTCTTCCCTTTAGCTGTAATCTGCTTTTGTAAAAGGCTGGATGGGACATGTTTGCATCATCATGCTTTACTTCTACCCATCCAGGTAGTCTAGCATCTGTGTAGTGTTAAGGATTGGCTACATATGGAACACATGTTCAACACAATGTGATAATTCCATATAAATATTAAATATCAATCTGATTGATCTTTGAATGTTTAATCAGAAGATTTTAGTTTATTTTACTTGTTCAGGGACCATATACACACTTCATATTAATTCAAACAGAGTCAAGTATATAGTTTATAAAAAATGTATTTATTTCTATTTTCCGAAACGAATGCTTATACAAGACAACGTATGCATGAAATGATGGAATATTGAATGAAGTGATTGAATGTAGTGGGTGAAATGATGGAATGGAAGCTAGATGTTTAAGCAAAACCTTTCTTCAGTATCTGAGAGAGTTTGTGGAGTCTGGGTTGTAAAATCTATTTGGCTGAATGGTTTTAGAAGCTAGAGGTCAGCTAGAAACGGACTAGATCAGGATGTAATTCTTGTTTTATCAAATCACATTGTTGATAAATTTGGCAAATCAGAATCGGACACATTTGAAGGCATTATCAAAACACCTCAGAATGTCACGCCTTCAGTCAGATACTCAGAGAGGTTAACTCTTTGTGTGAATGAGAATGTTTAAACAGTTAGGTGAAGTGAAAGTTAAACATTAATAATAATCTTATGTGTATGAGTATACTGATATATTAAGACATCCTGTTCATTTGATTATTTCAACCTATAAATTGTAAAGTCACTTAGGAACTTTCAGGAAGATGAACTTAATTCAGAGCAAAGATGCAGAAGTCTCGCGTCTGCATGAGACGCTGAAGATGTTTTGTCTTCTTTGTAGGTTTCTGTTTTGGAGGCCAGATAGATGGTGTGTTTGTGTCTGCAAATTAAAAGTTACTTTCTGGTCATTTATTTGATGAAAACTTGACCTTTGATCCGTTACATCTGGATCCCTCCTCCCCTGGACTGTAAACACTAATGCAGAGTAGCAAGCGAGGAGTTACTTCTCCACAGTTTAATCTCTTTCTCCTCCACTCTGTACTTTTCCTAGATCTCAAAAGATGTTTGTCTACAAAAGATAGAGAAACCCGGTTCAGTCTTCCTGAAAAGAGTTTCCAAAGGAATGGTTGAATTTTATTTTCAGGACCTTTCAAAACTGAGCCAGAATGTGGCCGTCGTTTCGCAGACTGCTTATTAAATTGTGCTGTAACAGTGTGGGTTGTCAGATGGATTTATCCTTCAAACAGGTGCCATTCCAACATTAAAACCACCGGATGGAGAGGGCAGAGTGTAGAGTAAAACCAAAATGCTAACCGTTAACTGCGAGCTGAATAGTTATAAAGTTTGGTGGGTGAGTGTGAGGGATGGACTGGGACCATTTTTCATTCCAGCTGTATTTTACTCGTGCGAGTGGTGTGTGCTCGTGTGTGTGTGCTACTTCCATTAATTGGTCTAATTTTTTTACACAATGCAGCCATCTTGTTAGCATAATGGGAATTCTTCTGGCTGAACAACATATGAGAAATCAGACACTGCAAAGACTTAGTGATGTCAAAGATTGAATGGCAACAACTATGCTCCAAGAGTGTGTTTCCACCGGTTTCCACCCTTCAATGGAGATTTGAGTGGGACACGTTGGCCAACGAGAAATGTCCCTGTGCTCCTCATAGCCAGTTCACCAATGCTGGCATGTTCCAAAAGCTGCTTTCTTCATGGTCCTTGATGTTTTTCTGGGGATCTAGAGTTACATTTTGAAATGGATGGAATCGGGACTTCATTGTATCAAAGTAGAAGTAATGGCTCACAAAACCTACTTACATTTGGAAACAAATGACATCTTAGTAGTGCCAATGGTAATATTTTATCATACATATAGAATCTATATAACAGCATGATGCTGACCCCATAAAAAACCACCAGCTTCATAGAAAATTTAAAAGAAGCTATGCTAATTTTATGAACTGTTTGGAAAACTAAATTGTTAGACTACCTTTTTGAAATGATTATAAAGTGTGCCCCTGTTGGGTTTTCAAAGAGATGCAGACATAATAAAGAATGAATTTTCTTTTCAGTCACAAAAGCTCTTTACTCTTCAAATGCAGCTTATGTGCTGCACCACCTGCCCCTCTTTGTCACCATTTCAGCAATCGTATTCCCCCTTAAAGAATAATTAAAAAAAGTTATAACATTATATGCATAAATCAAATCTGAGCTGCAGACAAGCTTGAATCTTTGTACTTTTTCCTAAAACACCCATATATTTTATGCAGAAACCCTTTTCAGCACCTTGTTAGTTTCAAACCGATGAGCAGAAAGCTGAAATCTTGTCAGACTCAGAACTAGTGACATACTTTAGGCTTTTAGACATAAATCTGTTTAATGAAGTGCTGCATAAAAGCAAAGCATTAAAAAGACAATTATGAGCAATAATATCAAACACAGTCTCCACAACACCCATTCTTAAAATCAACTACTTTACAAGTTCGAAGGGCATCTGGAAGTGGCAGTTAAATGTTGGAGATGACTCTGGGAACTGGACTTTGTGTTGACTCTCGGCTCGGGACGTTCAGGAGGGGGAAAAGGAGAGGTTTGTCAGCCCTGTCACAAAAACACAATGCTCAAAAATGTTCAAAATTTACAAAACATCAAAATTCCTCCTGTAATTATTGTCATGCAATATACATGTTGAGACAACTGAGACGAGCTTTTGTCCCCCCACCCGAGAGTTCTCCTGTCCAATCTGGCAGAGGATGAGAAACAGCTTTTGAGCCCATCTGATTGCCTTCCATCATGGTTCAGTCAGATTATTAAAAAAAACATTTGAGATTCAGTTCTTTTTGATTAGAGTCCTGCTCAGGTGTTATGTCACATTTCACCAAATAAACAAGTAAAAAGCATCGAGTGGATCCATTTTTGTGACTTGCCCGTTCAAAACTAGTCTACATTTTATAAAAGCCACATTTAATCTGGTATGTGTAGATTTACAGTGTGTTTTGACACTGAACAAACCCGACAGCCCCGAATGAAATGCTACACACTGCAATGAGCAGGACAGATCTAGCATTTCTACTTCTACCACACTGTCAACACACAGGCTAGTGATATAATGTGCTTGGCGCAGTTGCCTGGCAACACAAGCAGCACAGTTTTTAGAAAATTTCAAAGCAAAATAATAATAATAAGAACTAAAAATACAAAGCAATGCAAAAAAAGTAAAATATGTATAAAATAATAAATAGAAAAACAAAACCACAAACCAAACATTTGACTTCATCAGATTGTTCTCATTATATGCAGATAATATATTTGGTGTTTTATGACACCTCTACATATTATTAATCTTCATTATGGCCTCTAACAAATCCAAAGAGTTTTTGCAAAACTAATATGCACTAGGTGTTCTTCTACTGAGAATGGAGTCAGACTGCTAGAGAAAATGTGCAAAAACATGATTTCTTCAGTAATTTAACCGGGACAGTTCAACTTATTTAACATCAAACTGCCAACAAGGCTCGTAAATCCACAGCGGGAGGTATGCAGACACATTAATAGTCTGTCTCTGAAACCATCAGCTCCCCTGCTCTCTTTGAAACTTCAGACATTAGCTGCAGAGGAGAACTAGAGACAAGGAGGACTTGGCACTGAAATAAATCCCTTATGTTTAAGCACATACATCCTCGGCAGGAGAGAGAGATGCTCATTTAGTCTCCTTCATTTCCGACCTCTTGCCGTCTTTTCGGACCGGTAGAGGAGAAGAGTGGGGGCAGTCTTTCACTCGGGCCAGAGTGTCTGGCAGTGTTTAAGTGGCACACCAGGGCTTGTTCCAGTCTGCCAAGGCAAATCCATTGTAAAGGCAGGTGGGCCAACACACATCCTCACTCAGGACACAGACTTGTGTGTCCTAGTCTTTGTCTCTTTGCAGCCTGGCAACCGAGTCAGCAGCCACAAAGTCAGTGGGAGCCGAGCAGAGCATTGCTATGGCAACCAACATAGTAGGCAAGGCTGTGGCTGCTCAGAGACTTTTTTATTTGGCGTCCACATAGTAGTGTCAAAGTCGCCTACAGAGTTCAATTTTTTTGAATGTTCTTCCCGGACTGGCCAGCGACCTCGTGTGCACAGGTTCTCCTCTTTTGAAAAATAGACAACTATTCAGGGTGATGGAATCCAAACGCGACGATGAGGTTAGGTTTCACAGAAAACAAACGAAAAGAAAAAAACGTAGGAGAGGTTTGTGGCACTCTCTTGCCCTTCAGTTTGCACTTGCACGATTATTTAATCGTGCTGAAATGATACATCCGTTCTTGTCCACACACACACACACACACACACACACACACACACACACACACACACACACACACACACACACACACACACACACACACACACACACACACACACACACACACACACACACACACACACACACACACACACACACACACACACAGTTTTTAACATAAAAACAAATAGCTGCCGGGGCAGAACTCTTCAAACTCTATTGGACACAGCATTAAACAACAGTAAGTTCTGAGTCCAGACTCACTCCCTAGCTTTGTGTTGGCTGAGTCCGCGACGCGTGTGAGCAAGAGCTGGGGAGGTGTGTGTGCGTGTGTGTGAGTTTGTGAGGGGTAAAACCTGTTTAGTCAACTGAACCAGGGTGCAAGCTGAGTGCGGGTGGGTCCAGACAGGTGGGAGAGTAACTCAGGTGAGGCTCTTTAATCCACAGGAGGGGGGCGCCATTCTTGCCCTCTTGGCTCTTGTTGTTGTTGCGGCTCTTGAAGCGAACCAGCAGCAAGGCGATGAGGAGGATGCCGAAGATGGGGAAGGGGTAGAAGAAGATGAAATAGAAGAAGGACTCATTGGAGCACACCACGGAATGGATGGTGGACACTGTTGGACCAAAACAAAAACGTGTTACATTTTCTCACAAACACACAAGAAAGACTCTTCTGAAGCTAAAATCTACAGAAATGATGACATATTTGAGTCAAGATTCTCTTCTCTGACATGTTAAACATTTTTATACAACACCCATTTCTTTTTAAGACAGAGCAACGGTTTTGGTGTTTCTATCACTTAAACCTCCCAATTATAATCAACATTTTTAATTGGTATATCCAAGTAATCTGAGGCAAAAGTACCTAATTAAACCAATGGTGCCCAGCCTTTTCAGCTTTTGACCTAGAAATTGTGGCAAAGACTCACAACCTTGCCTTTAAGTGCACAAAAATAGATAATTGGTGGTTTAACAAAGAGGCAGGTAATATTTTTATACATTTATGGCTACTGATCAATCTCTGGAACAGTTTAAACTATTTATCTGACAGTTAAACTTAAGCCCCCCACTGGGGTCCTGGCCCTAACTTTGGAAACCACTGCATTAATCTACAGGAATAGTTTGGTTTTAAACAGTAGGCCATCTTTCTTAAGACCCGGGATTTGTTAAGAGTGTAAAAGTGTCACACGTGTCACAATTACATGTTCATTACACACACATGTATGTAGCAACAGAACACAAATGGTGTGAGAGATTCTCCACTCAACAATATCAGAGAAGGAGAAACAGCGGGCTGTTACCACTTTGACATTAGGACAAACTACGTCCCAAAAAGAAACACACCATTTGAAGTCTTGGACAACAAAAGACGTTTGGACATAGAAATCAGTGACTGGTGTTTAGCACCATCTTGTTTGAACTTTAGATTCCAGGTTCAGTGTTTTATTCAGAACTCACCTTGTGGGAGTATATTGACGATGGTGAATCCAGAGTTATTAGTGGCCAGCCGATACCATGAGTTGCGAGGGTTGAGGAGCCACTCCTCCACATGACAGTAGTAGCGACCCGCGTCCGTTGGCCGTGCTTCCCGAATGGTCAGACCGTACTGGTCCGAAGTTGTCCTTTCAAACTGCAAGCGGGAGTTTAGTTCTGCTTCTTCTCGAGGACTGCAGTTCCCATTTCCAAAAATGGCATCATGGCCGATGGAGAACACACACTCCCGCTCACCGTCTCCCTCACCCGGCTGGTCCTCGACGTCGTCGTCAACAGAACGCTCCACGTACCAAAACACGGAGAAACGGGAGTCTGGAGATGATTGTGAAGGGATGCTGCAGCCCAAACGTATTGAACTGGACTCCTCCACTGTGATGTTTGACTCATGTTCTTCTACATGCAGACGAACTTCTGCAAAAACCCAAAAATAAAGGTTATAGTAGGAAAATTGTGAGTTGAGTTTCATAGAGTCACAATAATCATTTGATGAGATCAGAAAAAAAAATATTGCTTGCAAATCTGAACTGATTTGAGTGATTTAACTTCACAAAACAGCCAGTTATGTATATGGGACATTAAATGAACAAACAAAGGACAAAATTAAATCAATCCCACTGCGCTGCCTGTGGCTATCAGCAGGCGTTCAGCTTCCCAGCTGGGTTAGATCCTACCTCAAGGCCAGTTTGCCTGTCTGGGTGTGCAACAGCCCCTCAGGGCTGGTTCTATGACCCACTTCCGCAGCACTTAAAAAAACATGGCAATAAAAACTTGGCTTGTAATGGTCACCTAGCACACTAGAAGTGTCTAAAGGACAAACAAGATCAACAAGCTGATACAAAGATTAAAAAGGCTAAATCTGGCATGAAAGGTCCCATCGTTCTTCTAAAGACTCTGTCAGTGTTTTTAACCCATCTTCATGCATATCAACACAAACAAAGAGTAAAAACTACATTAAAGCATCCCCCCCACAGCTCAGTATCATAACTGATACTGATACTAATTCTTCAAAAGAGCCATTAAATCTCAGCTAGAGCAAATAACATAAGATAATTCTGAGAATTTAAGATAAAGGTACATAAACTCCCAAATCTCTTCATTTGCAGGAGAGTTGCAGCTACATTATAGAGCAGTTTTAACATGAAAAAAAAAAAAAAACAATAGTTCTAAAAAAGCTTTTTATTTTGCAGGTTAATGAGCAGCTGGTTTGATCTCCACATTCTAGTCTGGCAGATGCCGTATCAATGGCTCCTCATTTTGAATTGTAAATAGGACGCCTGGCAGAAGAACACGGCGTTCAGAGACGTGGGGAGAAAAAGTCACCGCTGTGGGCGGGCTATTAATAATGTGCTTTTGAAGGCAGGATGCTTTATTGTGCAACTCCGTTCAGAATTTGTGAGCACTTTTTGAGTATCGCATCTACTGAATACAGTAGGGTTATGCTAATAACAGCCAGATAACTGACGATGTGGCAACAATGCCGCTTTGACATATGTTAAAGCTTTAGAGGTGTCTTTGTGGTTCGGTCTGAACCATCATTTGTTTCTAAAGATTTGTTTTCAGTGGGTATTTGTTTAAAGATTTGTTCCCTGATTAGTGTTGCAAGACATGAAAGTGGGTGAAAAAAGCAGAGAGAGAGTAGCAAAGGTCACAGGTTTGCAATCGAATCTTAATCAGTGGCAATGCCCACCAAACCAACTTTGCACATCAAGACGGCCAAGAGTCTTTGTCCAGAAGCTGATCTTAGCCTACACTTTAACGCACTTAGAAAAATTTTGATTGCACACCCGTATATAAATTGGGGCCGGGAAAATTAGCACATTAATTATTAGTGTTAATTTTGTTATTTTAATGTGTTAAAAGTAAATGACGTAATTAATCTGACCATCTCTCCAACCTGGAGCCACCATTGTCCTAAATTTCTCCACATTTCCGCCTGGACAATATTGCTAAACCATCATTTACTGAGCCCGAAAAAAAGATCTAGTTTCTACCCATATTATGGACTCTCAGCATCGAGGATTCTTTTGAGCGCAGAAGATGAAGAGCGGCAGAGCTCTCATGCACTCCAACGGCATCTGCGTCTTGCGCACAGCCACAGTAACATTCTCAAAGCGGCGCCACAAAAATATATTTAACACACGATCCTTCCTAACTGCTTTGGTAATTTCTGTCTTTTATTTGTGGCTGACGCGCATCGCTGCTGCGCTCATCACTCGTGCTCCACAGCCGTGGCCAGGCAGCGTTTTTTTTCTGGAGAACTAGATCCCGCATCTCCCTATGGCAGACGTAGGACCAGAGACAGACAGGACAGGATAATGGTCAAATACTAAGCAAACAAAACAAAGAGCTTGGAAAGGAAAATGTAGGTAGATTTATCCCACCACATGTTTTAACATTATAAAGTAAATAGTATGGCTGCACCGTGGAGCAGTGGTTAGAGCTGTTGCCCTGCAGTGAGAAGGCCCTGGGTTCGCTTCCCGGCCTGGCATCTTTCTGCATGGAGTTTGCATGTTCTCCCGGTGCATGCGTGGGTTCTCTCCGGGTACTCCGGCTTCCTCCCACAGTCCAAAAACATGACTGTTAGGTTAATTGGTCTGTCTAAAATTGTCCTTAGGTGTGTGTGTGTGTGCATGTGCGTGTGTGTGTGTGTGTGTGTGTGTGTGTGTGTGTGTGGTTGTTTGTCCTGTGTGTCTCTGTGCTGCCCTGCGATGGACTGGCTCTCTGTTCAGGATGTACCCCGCCTGATTGCCCGTTGACTGCTGGAGAAAGGCACCAGCCTCCCCCGCGACCCTACATGGACAAAGCGGGTTCAGAAAATGGATGGATGGATGGAAGCTCATAATATTCATATATTCCATACAATTCTGATTACTTCCAAAACTCCGTCCCACCCAGGGCTGTATCAAAGCATTTGGGGGCCATGCCTGCGAAGTGTCCCTTATTTTTTTTGGGGGGGGGGGGGGGGGGGGGGGGGGGGGAGTTGGCAATCCTAGTTCAACTGATGCTGTGGAAAATGACATTTACATTCAATAGCAAGCTAATTGTGCTAGATTTATTTTCTGTTCATTGTTTACACAATAGACTTTTTCAAACAATGTTTTTGAACAGAAACTGGATTTGATTTTAGGTTTTCTCTTTTAAAGACAGTATTCAGTGATTTTACACACTTCAACAAGTAATGCACTTTCTAAATAAAATGAACCTCTCTTGTACATTTTTGCATGTTTATTGCTTGCTTTTTCTGGAGAAAAAAAATCTAATTAATTGCTATTAATTTTTTTTCAGATTGTTGATTAATTAGTTAATTTATTTTAATTGATTCCTGGCCTTAAATATATATATATATATATATATATATATATATATATATATATATATATATATATATATATATATATTTCATCACACCTCTTACAATTTTTAGCAAAATGAAAACATTTTTAATAATCATAGAGATTGTTGATAATGTTACAATCCGAATTTAACTAGTGAATTTCTTAAAAGTTGGAAATGATTGTTTTTGACGCCATCATTTTCCTAATCTTGTCTCTCTCATTAACTGGTTAAATCATGTCAAGCTAACAATTTTTAATTCAGTTTCACCAAATTGTGCCAACAAGTCCAGGTCAGCATATATTATGTTTTATTACTACAAATATGATTCATTTGTCTATCTCTAACTGGTTTGTCATTATTTCTAAAGATGCTCTAGATATTTTTAGCATTGGACCAAAAGAAAATGAGACCAGAACTTTACAGAGAACCCATGAAAGGCTGTGCTGAAAGAAAAGGAAATTGTGTCAGGGAGATTAAGAGATACGCGCTGCAGAGAGCTTAAAATAACTCTGATGAGGGGGGATGTCAGGGTGTGAGTTGAAATGGGTAGATCATTACTTTTAAGTGTGATTTCATTCCACCTGAACTTTGCCTGAGGCAGGTTGGGGTCAGAGTGAGACTCGCTTAAGGCAACGAGCAGACCATGTTGCAGGAGGAGAGGTCAACAATGTTCTGCTGATCTCAAACAAGACAACACGAGAGACTTGTGGCAGCAGCTGTGGGAAGAGATGCTTGTTAAACACCGTGACACTTCTGACCTCGTGGCTTACCTGGCTGTCTGACCAGAACCTGGGTGTACCCTGAAGACTCCCGAGAGAGTCGATACCAGGCTCCGTCCGGGTCGCTCAGCCACTCCTCCACCAGGCAGTAATACGTCCCCGAATCGCTGCTCTCTGCCCTGTTCAGGGTCAGCACGTAGAGGCGAGGCGACAGTCGTTCGGACTGAACTCGCCGTCGGAGTCGTTCCTCGTCTGCGTAGGCGCCGTACTCAAAGGCTCCGGAGCGTTCGATTCTCAGCAGGAGCTCGTCAGCTTCTGACCCCGCTGCACGCCTCACGTACCAAAGCACAGCATGCTGGGAGTCTTGGCTGGTCTGGGTGGTGATGGAGCAATTAATCCTGACCCGGCTGTCCTCCAGGTACACCAAAGACTGGTTGTTCTTTTGCACTTTGAGTCTGCTCTCTTCAAGCAAAAAGGGAAAGAAGAAGAAAAGACAGTCAACTTTTTTTTGAATAGGAGAATGTGAGCCCTGGTGACAGGTACATATTGCAGTTTTTGTTTCGTGACAAACGACCTGTAGTTGGGTTTATTTCTGGTGGCAGCGGGGCAAAAAGCGACTAGCGAAGCGTGGGTTTGTGTAGAAGTTGACAAAGAGCAAGAAAGAAAGGAAGCAGAGAGAAAGAAGACTGAAAACAAATCAAAGTCAAAGGGATCGAAGGGTTTGTTGGTATCAAATGAAACATAGGATGCAGAACAGGCAACGTGAGAGGGGTGGATGGTGAGGAAGGATATTATTAGGTGGGATATGAGACAAAAACAGGGCAGGGGGTCCTGCCAGTCTGCCAGAGAGAAAATGAAGAAGTAATGCATTTAAAAAGCCAAGCAGCAAAGCGAGGGAGCAGATAGGAGTGCAAGGAAACGACAGAGGTGTGTGACTGAGGTGCCAGGAGGAAGCAGCAGCTTTCCAGAGTGCTGTGACAGGATTGGTTACAGCGACACCGGCTGCAGGATAGGATTAGCTGCACGTACATCAGGTGTGACCGCCACCAGAGCCCCACTGTCAAATGCTTAGGAGGGGGAGGGGGATTAGTTTACAACACAGGGAAATGCCCTCATACTTTATATACTTAACACAGTTTGTAGGAAAACAAAGACTTACACATACATAAAACAATACTCACACATTAAAATTCTCAAGCAAAATCCTCTAGAGAAAATTTGTAATACCAGAGGATATTGTGACATGAATTAGAAATTATTTTTACAATAAAACAAAGTTTCAAACAAACAAAGTCAATCAACATTATAACAAAATTTTTTAGGCTGTTTAGTAAAATACTAACATGTTTTTCTTTATATTTTAAATCTTAAGTTATCTTCACTGCACATTTCCCTCTGAGACGTCACAAAGTGTGAAAAAAGTGACATTAAAAACTTTATTTAACAATTCTGAGTGTTTTTGACCCATTTTGGTTTTCTGCATTTAAAATGATTGAAAAGAGTCAAATCAATAGAAGTGCCGGAAAGAATTAATTCACCTCTATCCAAAATTTCCAAGTTTCTTTGCGTTGAGAAGGCTTATCCAAACGTTCTCTAGCTTATTCGCTGCTCGTACTGTTTGTCAGTCAGCGGCTTCCGTACCGTATCATTCTAGCTAGCGACGCGTGGACTCCCAGAGCAACCCGCTTCTTCGTCACATTCACGTCTCACTACATCACACCACTAGGAGTATCGTGAATCAATTTGAATCAAGAATTGATTCTGAATCAAATCTACACCCTAAGAATCAGACTGAGTTGTAAGATTCACACCCCTCCAAATCAAAACTGAAAAGTGCAACAACGTGCAAAGTATGCATTTGTTCAATAAAGCAGAACATTTGGGGTACAAATGCAATACTTGCACATATTAACACTTTTCTGTTGTGCTTATTATTTTGGCTTTTATTTATGGCATTTGTTTTTATCTAATATATTTGCTTTCTTTTTCACAGTTGTGGAGCTGCTGAAGGTAAATGTATTGTTGAGGTGAATAAATTGTTATTCTGTTTTCCATTTTATAGGTAAACCCCTGAAATCATAGAATAAAATGATGCAAAACTCCGTCCAACTCCAACCAAATTTGATTATATCAGTGTGTTGGCACATAGATACCCCCCAAATTTATATGAGATAGAGAGATAGAGAGAGAGAGAGATAGAGATAGAGAGATAGATAGAGGGAGATAGAGAGATAGATAGAGATAGAGATAGATAGAGATAGATAGAGATAGAGAGAGATAGAGAGAAATAGATAGAGAGAAATAGATAGATAGAGAGAGATAGAGAGAGTGGATGGATAGATAGATAGATAGATAGATAGATAGATAGATAGATAGATAGATAGATAGACAGATAGATAGATAGATAGATAGATAGATAGATAGATAGATAGATAGATAGATAGATAGATAGATAGATAGATAGATAGATAGATAGATAGATAGATAGATAGATAGATAGATAGATGATAGATAGATAGATAGATAGATAGATAGATAGATAGATAGATAGATAGATAGATAGATAGATAGATAGATAGATAGATAGATAGATAGATAGACTCATTGCTGGAATCTAAGAAAACAGAATTCTGCTGCTTGATCTCAGCTTCATTCATTCAGCCTCTGAATGTGACATCTTCCCAGCTCTTCCCTGTTTGCCGAGAGAGGAACGTTAAAGTCCGGACGAAAACCTCCAGAACCACCTAAAGAATACAGATGATTTTCACACGCTTGTAATACATTTTTGTGTAAGTGAAAATGTAAATAGATTGTCTTTAAAAAGTGGGCGTATATTTGACCCTTCTCAAAATTAAGTATTAATTCAACAGCGATCATGAATAATCCTGACTACCCAGCCCTGTTCTGGCACAAACTGTGATGCATCTGCTGTACGGAATAACAGAAACTGCTAAGTAGTAATGACTGGCGCCAAACTGTAGCTCCAAATCTCACATACTCGTCAAGCCTTTCCTGTCATGTTGTTTTTGTTTATGCTTTGTTGATATGTCAAATTAGAGAATGGTAGGGGAGACAGGATTATTCTTCAATAAAAAGGCTTTCAAGCTCTCATTCACATATTCTATTCAATAAATCTGCAGTGGTTTTTAGAATGAATTAATGTCTTGTGAGTTGTTCTCTGTGGGAACATAAAAAGCACTGGAGCTCCTGTTTCAGGAAGCAAAAATCAGCCAGAGCAAAAGGGGAGCAGAAAACAACAGGATTTTACGTCTTACTCCTTATTAGTCATGATATTCTGGCATCTCACCTCTGATTGGCTAACAGCAATGCAACTCTTCCTACTCTCCTCCACTGCCTTGCAACGTTAACGTTTTATCTCTACAAATAAGACAAGCTTGAAGGAGTTCTGGCATGTTGTGGAGTAGCTAATGCTAACAGTTAGCTTCTACAAGCTCTGATCCCTCCTGGATGCTAAATCAACAGCAGCTGTCCGAGGTCGCGAACCAAGAAGGGTGAATGACAATATAAGTGTGATGTAGATCTCTGTGGCCTTTTCTGACCCAAGCATTGACCATCTATTCACGTTCAGCCAGCATGTTCAACTCCGCAAGTGAGTGGCCGCTCACATTTCAAAAAGATCAAGTTAAAAAACAGTTTCTCAGTGAACTTGCTCTTTAGAGTCGGTATCTGTAGTTAAAAAAAAACTGTCAACAAAATGTCAAATTTGAACAGGATTAAAACTAACTGCTGTTGTAGAATATAAAAATTGTGTTTGACAGAATGAAGTATGAAAAAGAAAACATGTTTTTTCTTCTTTATGCTGTGTTAATCAACCCCTTAGCACCCACCTCCTGTAGCGCATGCAAGGCTTTGCTCTGACAGAATGACTGACCGCCTGGGGTCAGAGCCATCTGCCCAGAAAAAAGCTCATCTTTAGCCACAGATTGGTGGGCATGTTCCATGACTGCTGCTCGTCTTTCTCCACATTCTGCATTAAAATATACGTTCTACACACATGCCGTGGGAAATACTCACCACACACATGGCTGCAAGACTTTGCCAGACCACCTCATTGTGCAAGAGTTATTTTTTATTATTGAGTTAGCATCATAGCGTCATCACTACCCACAAGACTCCGTAGGAAGCTGACTACGTCTCATTTCTGGAAACACTGAAGATCCCTGTGGAGTCTTGGCAACCTTATTTATTTTTTCTTTTCTGGAGAATTACCTCTGAAGCTCCTGAAGTGGAACCATGCAGACTGGGTTTGGCACAGGACTAAGTAACGCTCAGTCGTTGCCATTTGAAGTTTAAATCAGCAGCCAGGAGAAAAAAGGTAAACAAATCTAGGGGCTGAAAGCTTGTTGCAGAGCCTCGGTATTTCCAGAAATGCCTTTTTGAAACTAAAATAGGCTAATTACTTAAGCCCCATTAGGTCGCATCATGAAATATTAAAAGTGATCATTGTTAAGAACTCACTCAAGCCCAGACTAATAGAGAAAATAAAATAAAAACTATGGCTGAAACACAAAAAAAGAGAAGAAATGCCTTCTCTCCCTGCTGAATGCTTCTGCTGCGAAAGCATCTTCACACACCAGCCTGTCACATCCTTTGACATGCATCCGTTCCCACAGAGGATGACATTTCCTCTGTCAGATACTACTTGTTACATCAATCTATCTGCTGACCCAAGCAAAAAGAACAGAGGTTTCAAAAAGATGTGGGGTTGGAAGCATTGTGATCGTGCACGTGGTACTGATGCGGGAAGCTCTGGGTCAACGGATGTTTTATCATTTTTGTACAACTCCTGATCAGTGAGATCAAATGGATGGTTCAGGTCCTTTGAAGTGGGGTTTTCTGGGTTAGGATTAATTGATATTTAATCTGCATGAGGTACGTCTGAATGATCTCAGTTAGGAGAAAAATATGTCATTTCTGACTGGACTGACAAGCTAACACTAGTTTCTCACTGGGCTGTGACTGCTGATGACCAGATGGAGACACAAATAGGAAGAAATTAAAATTCTGCGATATGTCTAACTTGTGTATATGTTTTAACATCTGTGCAAATTTCCTGCTGCAATTTATTCACACATAATTTAAACTTTGTCTTGATTTCTTAGCGATTCATCTTCATTTAAAATTTGCAATTCTGTCGAGCTTGGAAAGATAGATTATCGTTTTTGTCTTCTTTAACAACTTAGTTTAGCAGTTTTCAAACTCCTCCTAAAGTTGTCTCACATTTCATGCATTTTCTGACTTAATTAGACCAAAACGAGAACCATTCAAATAACCACACTGGGATTACTTTTGGAGAAAACCTGTCATGCAATTTTTAAAACTCTGTTTAAAATACCAGAAACACGAGCACAAGGCCCTGGGGAACACACAAGCTAATTGAGAACCTTTGCAAACATTTCAAGAAAATGCTTAGTGAGAAACGGATTTAACTTATTTGAGCT